AGGAACGTTTCTTTTCCTCCTGGAACTGCAAGCTCTGTATGACGGGATCCTTCAGTGCAGCCTCGGTCTAAAAGTCACTCATAAGAAAGCAGAGCCACAACTCAAGGCACGTGTCTTGAAGTTTTGTGTGATCCCTCGATCCACCTGAGGCTAAAGCCAGTAATACCTCCGGGCTTTTTATTTAGAGGCTTTTGCTCCTTGAACCAAAAGGCCTGACTAATAATACACATTCTTCCTATATTTCCTTCTGTCGGTTACCCCTGTCCATCGGGCTGTGTTCACCTGCGCCCTGCCCAGGACTGCGTTTCTGCACTGCTCTCCCATTGCTCAGTATGTCTCCACCACGATCCTCCTCCCGCTTTTCATCCTCTTTACAGGCCTCCTTCCCCTCCCATCACTAATCTTCCAATTCCTCCTCCTCACCCTCCTCTCTCCTCCCATCTCATACTCCTTCCCTGTCCTTCGCTTCCCTGCCCCGCCCATCTCCTCTGTTCATGCAGAGATGTCTGGAAGGGTAGTGCCCACGCATGCTTGCTGCTCTTGGTGGCGAGGAAGGGACCCTGCGTCTCTTATGCTGATGCTGGCACAGGGTCCACAGGAGAAGGGGGCAGTAGGGACGATAACTCCTATGAGGAAGATGATTATTTTTTGGAGCTGGGTCTTGCTGTCGCGCAGACTGGAGTGCTGCGGTGCAATCATGGCTCACTACAGCTTAGAACTCCTGGGCTCCAGCGATCCTCCTGCCTCAGCTTCCTGAGTAGCTGGGACTACAAACCCGTGCCACTACGCCTATTTTTTTAAAATTTTTAATTTAAATGTTTAAAGTAGAGACAGGGTCTCACTATGTTGCCCAGGCTGGTCTCAAATTCCTAGCCTCATGGGATCCTCCCACCTTGGCCTCCAAACTGCTGAGATTATAGGCGTGAGCCACTGCACCTGGCCCTATGGGGACGATTATTAAGGGTACTGAAGGCCTGGTGCGGTGGCTCATGCCTGTAATCCCAGCACTTTGGGACGCTTAGATGGGATCATCGCTTGGGACCAGGAGTTCGAGACTAGCCTGGGCGACACAGCAAGACGACCTCACCTCTATAAAAAATAAGAATAATTAGCCAGGGGTGCTGGTGCGCACCTGTAGTCCCAGCTATTTGGGAGGTTGAGGCGGGAGAATTGCTTGAGCCCAGGAGTTTGGAGTCACAGTGAGCTATGACTGTGCCCTGCACTCCAGCCTGGGGGACAGTGGGACTCTGCCTCAGGAAAAAAAAAAAAAAAAGTCCTGAAGCCTGGTCCAGAAAGACACTCAGACCTGAAACCTGCGCCTGGCACCCGTCCCCTAACACGTTCTCTGACTTCCTCCCCAGATCTGGGTTCCTAACCCAAGGCTCAGGTGTACGTCACTGAGGACGAAGCAGCTTTCGCCGAGACGTCGTCACCCTACCTTTGAGGTAAAGCAAACAAAAGCCCCACTTCAAACCGGTATTCTGGATCCTTTGCCGGCCTTTAGAGCAGCGGTCCCCAACCTTTTTGACACCGGCGACCGGTTTTGTGGAAGACGGTGTTTCCGCAGACCGGCGGTGGAGGGGTGGGCGCCTCAGCCCCGCCTGCATCGTCTGGCGTCGGGGTCTCCCGGGGCGCGCGCCTGGATCCCGCGCGTGCGCAGTTTGCAGTGGCGTTTGCGCTCCCGCGAGGGTCCGATGCCGCCGCTGAGCTGCCCGGGCAGGAGGGGCGGGGCTCGGCCGTGAAGCGGCGATGCGAGCGACGGGGAGCCCCGCCTGCCGCCACTAGCCTCCCGCTGTGCGGCCTGGGTCCTGGCGGGCCGGGACCACAGCGTCGTAGGTCGCTGCCAGGCTCCAACTCCGTCACTCTCCCGTGCCACGGGCCCTCCCGCCGGCGTTAGCGCCTGCCCTCCACCTCCACAGTACTCACGAGCATTTCGACCCTACCCCGGCTCTCAAAGCCTCCCCTCCTGGACTCCGTCCCTTCCTTCAGTCTCCCAGAACATGTCCCTGAGCTCCCGCCGTTCCGTTGCCTGCACCGGGCCCTCCCGTGCCCATGAGCCCCTCCTCCGCCTTTTCCAAACTCACTCCCACGGCCTCTTGCCCTCCCCCATCCATATGCTCAGGTTCCTACTATGGGCTCCAGTCCTAATCCTCCCCTCACTCCACAACCATCTTAAGATAGCTCAGGTCCCTCCTGCGAGTCTAATTGTGCCCTCGCCTCTCCTGGGGACTTCCCTGGGCCCTGCCCCTTCTCCAGGGCAAGCCCACTTCCCTCCTTCCCTGTCCCTCCTGGGCAATACCTCCGGGATTTGGTAGTGGGCCAGTTTGCTGGCCCAGATCCTGGACAGGTCGTGTCTGAGTATTCAAACAGTCCAGCCCATATGTGATTTTATTTCTTTATTAATATTTTTAAGTAAATTGACAAATAATTGTATTACACTTATCAACGTTTTATACAATTTGATGTTTTGACATATGTATACAACGTGGAATGATTAAATCAAGCTAATTAACATAACCATCACCTCACTTATTTTCTGTGGTGAGACACCTGAAATTTACTCTGTGATTTTCACTCTAGCCATTCTGGTGACTAGCGATGGCGGCACATTGTGGTTTTACTTTGCATTTCCTTGATGAGTAATGGCGTTCGACACATTTTCACTTCCTTATTGGCCATTTGGTGATCTCCTCTGTTAATGTTCTTAAGTCTCTCCTCCTTTTAATTGATCTGTTGTTTTATTAACTTGTAGACTTCTTTACATTTTCTATGCGAGTTCCTTCGTTAGATGTACGTATTTTCTTCCAGTCTGCTTTTTACCTTTTCCATATCTTAATGGCATCATTTGATGAGCAAAACTTTGTACTTTTGATAAAATCTAACTTGACCTCTTATGTTTAGTTATCTTTTATGTACT